TTCTCGTTCGCACTTCCACTAGCTAAGTAACGAGTATCTGATAGTCGGGGAACTCGACTATAGTATTCTATCTTGTTTTAGTATATACTAAGTTAGATATTTAGTATTTTTCACACCTTGCTCTGTCGATTGTGAACGTTTTTAGATTTCCATTAATAGCCAAATTTGGTAATATATTCTTGTTTTAAATGTTTGTTTAAAAGCAAGCTTTAAACTATTGTATCTTGTGAAGTGCATTGTTTTCAAAAAGATACAGGTTCCAATATAAGCTTACGTCAACATTGTTCCATCAAATTTCATATTTAATTCCATCCCTACTTTATGACACACTACGCGATTTCCATTTCCCCTTGGCAATCAGCGCATATGTCATAAATCAATTGGCCAAAAAAAGAAGTGCACCTTCACGGGGGAAGACCGAGTTTCTCATAAGTTTTATAGGAATTTGGCAAGCAGAGTGGCGTCAATAAATAAACAAAAGGAGGCGTATAAAGTATGGCATAGCGGTCTCCAAGGACAAAACTATCCGCTGCAAATCCAACCAATCCACTTGCCTCAAACATTTATTTATGGCCTAGCTGGCCGGTGGAAATTTACATTTTCCAAGCCACTGGGCCGGGTCGCATTCTGGGCAAATGACCCACGATGGTTACCGTTCTGGCCACCGGAAACGGAAGTGGGCAAAGTGGTGCCGAGTTGAGTGGTTCAGGAAACGCAATCAAACGCCGTCTATCGCGATTCCTTTTTTGTGGCTCGGCTTTTGGCTATTTTCATACACATGCGAGTGGCGCTATAGCGCGCGTTTCGCCATTTTGGCCCGACATATATCATTGTCTGGCCATACAGAAGGAAACCCACTAGCGGAAAAAAGAAAACCAAAATTCGGGAATACCTACAACTGACTCGAGGCGAGTCGAATTCAACCTGCCGCCATTTTCTGATTTATGATGCTATTTAGATTTCACGTGATTCGTTTTCAATGCGCGCTCTCGTCCACTGGCAAAGATAGAAAAAAATCGCGACCAATAAATCGCAAGTGGGAGCAGCGAAAAAAATGAAACTAGAAATGAATCTGAATGCTAAAAATTACAACACACAGCTGCGTGTGCATAAATCTCCCACCCAACGGTTTAGAAAAAACGAAGAGTGGGGCGGATGTGGATCCATTCTAAATTCAATTCGTTGGAATTCAATTTTTTTTTTGATTTGGCTTATCACTAACTTAAAGAATACACAAAAGGAATTGATAAAATCCGTTCAAGTGACGTGCTTTAGCAGTTTCCCACTGCCAACAAATTTTTTGAAAAATGCTATAAAGAACATAGATATCTTTGAACCCATTTTAAATTCAATTCGTTTCAAAATCAATTCCTTGTGTAGGCTTATCAACTATTAAAAGCAAATGGCAACATGTTTAGCATGAAATTGGCAGAATCTGAGCCGGCATCACCCTTGCCACCCCTCCAATTATTACTTTGGCAATTCGATTTGCATACAATCGCCGGGCATGAATAATTGTGGATCCCCGTCCGACTCGCTCGCTAACTCATCAAGTTCATGAGCCTGCCGATTGACTTTGAATATTAGCTGAGTGTAACTGGATGTTCGGGGGCATTACGGGCACTTTCTGGGGGAGGCAGTGCGGCGCCAGCTGTAATTGACATGCAAACGCATTTGCTGGGCCCTGATTTGATTTCCATGTTGTTGCTACGCATATGATTATTGCTCCGGAGGGGCTCCCTCGTGTAATTCATTTGATTAATTATAGTACGACATCAGTTATCGCTCCCTATGGCCGTGGGCGAATGTGGGTGGATGCTTGCATGTTAATACAAATTAATTAATCTTCGCAATATTGCAGCGGGACTGAGATTGATTGCAGTCGCGAGATGGCAGCAATTTGGCTAAGTTTCATCGGGGGAATGTGAGCGAGTGTGAAAAACAAAGAGGGTATTATTATACAAACAAGATAAACAAATTATTTTAAGCCCATTATCGTCAAGTCTTGCCAGCAGCAAAAAACAAATGATCATGTGTACCTAAGCATTAGAAAAACATTGATCAAGTGTAAATGAACGATCTTATATTCCTCTTGTCATATACCTGAAAAATGTTAACTAACTATATTATCAATGCTATTTTATAAAGTCTCACAGCTATAAATTTCCGATTTTCTGTCAATAATCCCAAATGACTTTAGAGTAAAGCCCAAACAACGAGCATACAAGTAAACAATATTACAAAAAATCTCAACACGTGTTTAGTTAATACCCTTCGCCGAAAACATATACCATCTACCATCATATCAACCCTATTTTCCCAACAAGTTTCCTAATGGCCTTCGCCGCTGGCAGTCCCAGCCAAATCCCACGATTTTAAATTCTTTAAAATTGTTATCTCCTCGCTCGGACTTTGTAATTTTTTGGCGCATAATTTACATGAGCATTAAAAAGGACAAAACCTTATCCACCATTATGCCAATGAATGATGAGGCGCCGGCACGCGGCAAACCGCAAAAACAACGCCCCTCCACCACGCCCACCCCCAACTTGCCAACAGGCCAACTATTAAACGCTTAATGGCCATTTCATTGGGCATCATATCACCGGATATATCGGTCGGATATCCGATGTCGTCGGACAGTCCCAAGGCCACATGTTTGCCGTGATTACATGAGAGTTGACACGCCGCCTGGTTGGTGTGGACACGTGATCCGGTCACGTGTCGCCAATTCGCCCACAGGCCGCGTCTAAAAATGCGCTGCAAGTCACAGACGGCTGTGTATACCCTTTCTTCTTGCAGGGTATAGGTGCTAGTCTGAAAAATAGTTAAATACCAACTTTTTCTGTTCAAAATATGTAATTTATTAATGACAACAGAAGCAAACAAAATATGTACTTCTTTTAAAATATGTTTCTAAGATTTATGTGCTATATAGATCTATATAAACAGATAAGTTGTAATATTACTGTAGTGTATTAGGTATTCGTTGGAGAAAACCTATCCCATTCACTTTGTTTTCATTTCGTAATGTAATCAAATTATGAAAATTATACGAGACCTTCAGTAAGTCAAGTTGGCAACAATTTTGACTGATTGTTTTCGCACGACCCCCCCTGAGGGGGCCCAGAAACCCACATAGCAACCCCCTGGGTGCCCCGCCGAGATTCACTTGAGGCACCAACCCCTTTGGTGGGCGAGAGGTGTGCGCCAGATCCGGATATGGTGGGCAAACAAATTATATTTAAAATCCCAGTCCCAGTGGGTTTCGGGCGGCCCAGTGGGTGTGGCCGCTTCCATTTCAACGCTCAACAACTCAACCTGCTGTGGATCCGGTTCCAATTGGATATCCGTTTGGAGCTCGGCAGGGCCCTTGAGTCATCATCATCATCATCTCCGATGGGCTTGGATTGTGTATTCTGGGTTTTAGGGTTCCCGGCTCAGGACCACCCACTGGGTTTTACTTATTACTTTCGAGCGATCCTTTAACTCCGGCACGGTCTTTTGGGGTTAAACTGCTCTTTTCCCCTCTTCAAATGACACATCACGAACTTTTTTAATTTGTTTATGATAATTTATGCTTTATATAATAGGCAGAGACCTGTCATTTATTATAAAATGTTTCTCAAACGGATAACAAATGGCAGAATAAGATAATGATAATGATAATGGCGGCTCTTTGACCGAACATTTTAATGGATTAGAGTCGTATTGATTGAATTATGTAAATGTGGTATTCTTTCATCAAACTTTTCAAATTTGAATAATAATAATTGTTTTTATAACCATCAGAATCAAGTTAACTTGTTATATTACTTTAATAATCCTTATATATTAAATAGAATCTTCCACTTGTGACTAAACATGAAATCATCGACTTTCCACTTAAAAGCGCTTAAAATGAAATCAGAGTTTCCCAATGACATTATTTGCCAATAAGCCCAAAAGGAAGACAATGCAAAAAGGTAGCAAAATCCAAACTTAAATCAAACGTAAAATAGAAATAAAAATGTATACCTATTGATGGTGTAACACGTGTAAAGATTATAAAAATGAATTTTTATTGTTGACCAAAGAACATCAGCAGGGCAACTGTTGCCCTGTCCCCAAATTTTCCCTCATGGCGAATTTTTAAAATCAAAAATTGACGATTATGCAAAAATACGAAACATCTTTATAGCCGGGGAAGAGAGCGGCCGAGGTAGCACACATGATTTGGATTCGGTCCTGAGTATGACATTTGTTTTATGCCTCGTTCAGGTTGCGGCAGCATAAAAACCGCAAAAGAAATCCGCAACAGACGGCTACCTCGAAAACCCAACCTGAATTTGGCCTAAAACACATAAGCGGAGCGAAACTGCCGCGCGATAAAAGTTAAATATGCAAAGATGAAAATCTATAATTTTTTATTAGCCCTGATCCCCGCCAAGTGCGTCCTTATGCGGCTTTTCCTTTTATGCCGCACTGGCTAATTTGCCCTTTTGCCCCAATTTGTTGCGGTTCTTTCCACGACGCCACGGGAATTTTGCGAGATTTTTACGATTTGCGATTTGCACGAATTATGCCAATGTTGCACACTTTTTTATAGTTTTACAATATGGCGACACAGTTGTGTTATCAACATTGCATTTTCTCGTATTTCGTATTCAATTAGGGTCAATTGGGGGGCTAAGGTAAGAATTTTTGAGCGCTGTTACGTTGAAGTAAGAAAATGTATTTGGATTTTATTTTGAAGGGTCTGGAAATCGATATTTACGTACTGTTAAGGATTAAATAATTTAAACGAAATAAGTAAGACCAATACGTGCATAGGGTGGCAATAATTAACCTACTTTTTACACAAGGAAATACACAAATTTTTAATTTTATAGGGGGCAACCCTATCAGAATCAGCTAAACTGATATATTTTTTGAAACAGCGCGAAATAATTTTAAAACATTACAAAATTATCTAAGTAAATTCTAAAAATAAAACAATTTTTTAACTTTATTTGCAATTTTTATATATGATTTTTGTTATTATGGCTTCTTCCCACAACATTTCACAACAACGCTCCACTATCCACTATCAGCACTTGGATCGACCACAGGTCATGCAAGCACAGCAGCAGGATCGGCTGAGGTCAGGAGCCAGCCATGAGAACCAGGAGGGATCCAGACAGGACTCACACCACGGGCCACAGCAGGTTTCGGGGAATATCCCACAGCAGGAGGACAAGCAGGCGGCACAGCCACTCGAGCAGGACCCACATGGCCCGCAGCAGGGTCCAGATTTGCAGCAGGATCCGGACTTGCAGCAGGATCCGGGACTACAGCGAGATGGGGGAGAGCAGAAGGTTCCAGGACTGCAGCAGGTTCCGGGCTTTCGACAAGATCTGGATGCACCGGTCTTACAACGGGAACTGGAAACTGGAGCTCGACATCCAAACCGTTGAACTCGCATGCACATGGTCCACAGATATTTGTGAGTCGTTGGTGGAAATGTTACAACAGTGGAGCTAATACACAATGTTTTACTCAAAAAGATACCCCGACGAAACTGTATATTTTCCTTTTATATATTCATCGCTGATTGTTTAGGCCTAAGTGGTTATAGACCTAGCATATCGGGACATTTTCGGCAGATTATGGAGTTTATGACTTACATTGGATATTCAAACAAAAATAGATAGCTTCACGGGGTTTTCGGAACACTTTCGCAACGATACGTTGATGGTGAAATTTAAATATAATTATATACAAAATTAAAAAATGATACAGGACGTAGAAAAAAATATTTAATTTCATGATATATTTATATATTATATAATATTATATAATAATATTACTGATAATTTCATAATAAACTGAAGTCATTCAACTGATGGTCATTAGGAAACATTAAATATTTTATAAATACTCCGCAGTTTTTTGAAATTCTTGAAACGGGTTATTTCATACTTCCCCTGCCATTACAACCCTCTGCAATGGAAGACCACTTTAGTTAATGGCAAAGCGCATAAATGAAATCATAAATAAAAGTCGCAGCTTTGATTTACTTGCGTTGACAACAGCACAACATTAAATTAAATGCAGTAAACCGACCAAAAAAGCAAGGAGGATGAAGTGGAAGCTGGAGAAGCCCATGGATAACCCCACGGTACCCTTCCTTGGGTCTAACGAAGCGTGAATTAATTGGGATGGGTAAGTGGGAATTGCGCATTAGCCTCGCCTGCCGGTGGATGCAACCAAAGCGAAAGCACACAGATCCCCAGGATTCCAAAGACGACAGGGAACAGGACAAACAAGGAATCGAAACTAGCAATTGTAGCTGGAAATCGAATGTCTCACTGAAAGTGGGGGGAAACCAAATAGAACCAACTAATGAATCCAGAATCCACACGACAATTAGAGCATCAGTTTGCCATATTTCAGGAACTACGCAGAACACCAAATGGGTATAGAAGAGGTTTGTAATAGCTACTAGCATTACCGAGGTAAATTTAAATGAAAATTAAAGCGTATATATTCATTTCAGTTCAAAGCACTAATGCAAGTGAAAATGTTTGCAGTTGGAACATTAAATTGGCATTCAATGCGGCCCATAAACGCTGGCAATTAAAATCTTATTTCCGCTTATTACACTTTCACAGGTGTGTGCCAGCATCCCGCCAATAAACACGTCTAAAAATTTTAGCCAAAGAATTTGTCGCCTGGCTCAGGCCACCTGTTCCCCTAAAAAAATGTGTTTCTTTTCCGTTTTGGGTAATTGAATCATTTTAGCGCCATTTATTTTGTTCAGGTCTGCGCAGGATTTCAGGGAATGGAAGTGGACGGGGTTGGTTTCAGTACGCGTGACATTTGTAAAACAATTTCTATTTCGAAAATGAAACAAGCGCGAATGCCCGCGGGTGGGAGGAACATAAATAATAATGCGTTAAATTTATGCGCTGATTAATGCGGAGCAGTCAATCTCCACCAGCTTTTGGGGCGGAGGACGCGGCAGTTCACCACCCACTTGGCCAAGTTCTCAGGTGTGACCAGTTCGGAGGTGGGGAAATGAAATCTCCAGTTCATATGAAAACTCGACTGGGCGCGTAAAAGTATGCTGTACATGAATGCGATTTTATTAGAATGAATTAAAAATTGAGAGAATATTATTTTCAAAATAACATAACTTTTGATTTTAAATGGTAATTAAGAAAAGAAACAAGACATCTATATGAAATCTCATCTTTTTGATCTAGTGCTGGTTAAGTGGAAATCAATTTAGCAACAATTTCACTTTTCAAGAATACTCAAATGAGTAAAATTAGCTTAGTTGCCCATTTCAACTCTGTTTACATCATTTGTGGTAACCGAACTGCCTGCAATCGAATTATTTTTCCACACTCTGAGGCCATAAACCAAATCCCATCGAATTAATTGAATGAGATACACTCCCACCACCCAGCGTGCAGCCCCCTTCCCCTCAGTGCAAAATACGTGGGCATTTAGCGAAACGCTTATTTCATTATTACGCCTAGGGCAACCCGTCGAGGAAGACCCAAAACACAGAAAGTCAAATTGAAAAAGTCAAAAAGTTGTATTCCCCGTTTGCCCGGCTAAGCGAAGGACATCCTTGGGGTGGCGAATAGTGGTGGCCACCACCCGAGAAATCATCACAGGGGTGCGGCGTCGCATCATCGGCGAACTAAAAACCGGAACGGAAGCAGCAACCGAACAACAAGAGGGATTTCCGGCCTCCGCCGCCACCACCAAAAAAGGCTAACACTTGTGTCCTCCGCCCAAACAAAGTCACCCCCCAAATCACATGCATAAGGTTTTTAAGTTTTGTGCTTTGTCATACAAGTGCGTGGAGGACGATCTGCAGATACAGTTGTAAAGATATGGTAACAGGCGCGTAATGCGACAGCCCTTTGCAGGATGGCTAAAATGGTTGGGGGCGGTTGGCTCGGATGGGTGGGTGGGGCTAACATGTGTACCGTTAGAGGTTTGGGCGTTGGCAGACGAAATCGGTTGTGGGTTGCGGTGCGGTATCCCAGGTTGGCAGGATACTCTAGCAAGGGCCGATCCTAATTTAATAGTAAATATAACTTGCAATGGGTAACTGGTAGCATTTTAAACCATCCATAAATTCCTTTAATTCCTTTTATTTAATTAAATTTAAGAAAGCAAGTTCCTTGATAGTACCAGGCCATAAATTATACTTATGAATCAAATAATAGGTACTTATAATATATTACTATTTTTTGTAAAAGTGAAACTCCTCAACCCACCCATCCAATGCACCTTCCCACTCTTTTTGACAGCAGATTTCAGCTGCCCCGTAAGCCACCAATTACCTCACCTCCTCACCATATTATGTGAACCATTTCTGTTGACATTGCCGCCTTGTTTACACGAATTTTGCGCCAAACAGTCACAACGTCGAATGTTTAGATATCATTTTGCGCGAACGAAGGTCGGAAATGAGAATGGAGCACCGCCAACTAAATGCTGAGTAAATAGTTGCCGGGGTAATTGGGACAGAGCTACGAGGAACATTTATTTACCATCCGATATGATATTTGCGCAATGCTGGTAGGAGGGGCGGAAATCAATGCAGCAGTTCATTGAGACCTTGAGGAGGAATTTAATTAAAGAACAGGTGACAATGCCAATAGGGCGGTGCTGAGTTTCCTTCATTGGGCATCATAAATCAAAGTTCCAAGTGGAAAGAAATTCAGGAGGGCGGCGAAGTTGGAGCCCAACGGCGGCTGCAAGTGTCAGCAACATGTGGCCAAAAGCAGAAAAAATGCAGAAAAATAAAATGAAAAAATATGGAAAATATACCAAAAATAAAAAAACCAATGCGCAGTAATCAAAAAATGTCGCGGACTTCTCTTCGTCTTTTTTCACTTTTGACATGGTCAAGTTTAATTGAAAAAATAATACAACAAAATTTGCTATAAAAAGAAGGCAACTTTTAACCTCTGCAGCTGCTGCAAAAGCTCATAATTAGAAAATCCACTGAGGAAGCAAGCGGCAAGCAAGTTAAATTAATTTATTCCTATTTTTTGTATACTTTTAATTGAAATTTTCTTCGTTTTTTACCACCTCCCCCCGTCCACTGCATATAATTTTAATAACCGGAAGCCGGAAGATGGCCAAAGGATGCGCCGGTAATTGCCGTGGCCAAAGGATGATAAGCAAATGTGGAAACCTGAAGCTCGCTTACCTCTCACTTTCCAAAGAAAAGGGTTCTTTTTTCCGACCTTTTATTAACAAATTTTACTTTGCCCACGCCGCACGTTATGCTATAATTAATAATCAGGCTGCATGGGCACTAAAAATGCTGCAGGAAGTTGATTAAATTTGATACAGTTCATGGAGCATTTGCAACGATATGAGTGTCGCTTCTTTGGGTTAAATATTGGCTGAAAAGGGTTAAATTTGTGGTTGGCTTTTGATGACATTAATGGCCGAGATTTCTCAATGAATTGGGCTTCAGAAAAAAATGTTGTGGTAAAAGCGACGAGATTATCAAAATCTTATTGGATATTATTTTGGAAAAAAACCTTAGGTACATGGCATTAGCAGAAATAATCTAAGAGAAGAGAACGATTTAGTTGAGTGTAGCTACTATTAGATACCCCTTAGCCCTCGACGTTCGTACGGACATTGCGAGATCCTGATGAGGAATATAAATACTTTTCAGGGTCGAACACCTATCTTTATACCTATTCCATACTTTTCAATGAGTCTTTTACTCTACAAGTAACAGATACTAAAATAGGTTACATTATTATACTTATTATACATTATTATACATTATTAAACTATCATACAAATTATTCGAAAAATATTATTGGGTTGAAAAGAATTTTTTGTTTAATCTTAGTTTGAAACTAAAAATGAAGTATTTTTTAATCTGGCAATAAAATAAGGGAGAAAATCTTTTTACCATGATAGAGAATTGTTCACCAAATTACTAACAAATTAATCATTTTTGCACTTAATGACCACTGCTCCTATGAATTCGCTTTGGCCGTAACGCTCAGCGAAATGAAAAGCTCGCCATAAAATTAATCCAGTACCGGAGAATGGTTGGTGTCCCAACTAAATGACACAGTTTAAGGCGAAAATACCGCCACCTAGCGGCAGCCAGCCAAATCCTAAAGAATATATTTTCATCCAGTTTATTTAGGAGTTAGGATGTAAATTCTTCGTTAGCATTGTTACAATATTGTTTATATTTCAATAATTCAATTTCATTGAATATTAAATGAATTAATATTGTGCCAAAAAATGGACAAAACGTAAGTTTTTTAATAGTTTACTTCGTATGTTTAGGAATCTGGTTTATTTTCATATTTTTGCATAACATCACGTGCCAATTTCAGCTCCGCCAGCAGAGCCTTCATTTGGGCGCGATCTATGTTGAGAACGTGGGTGGTATCCTTCGGCAGGCCATCGACCAGTTCTTGCGAGATCTTAAGTTCCAAGGTGGCGTAGTTTGGAGGCGTTTGTCCAGGCGTAGATATGTCACGGACGCTCTTCAGTTCGTTAACTAAAGTAAATGAAATATAAACATTTAAGAATATTAAACTACAAACATAAACCTGGCTTTCAATTTAAATCGTATAACAATAGTGCTGAATATTCAAGCAAACAAATTTAAAAAAGTAACCAATAAGTCTTTATAGACTGGTTCTTGATCACCACTCACTTCTGAAAGATTTGCTTATAAGTGTTTGCCGTATGGCGGCGGAATGCTTCTGGAGGACTCTGCACATGACAGCGGCGTGGTCCTTGGGCAGTCCCAGTTGTTGGATCTCCTCGCCAAAAATGCTTTCGGTGCAGCTGTAGCGAGCTGCGCTGGTCAGCATAAAATTGATGCATGCCACGGCGGTTTTACCCTCGTTAGTTAAAGTGGATGTGAGCGATTTTATTTTAGCCTCCTGAAAGTAAAGGCCTTTAATATTTAAGCATTGCAAACAAATAATTACAAACCTCAAATGCCTGTCCACAAATCCGTTGGGCCACTAAATCGCTAAGTTGTTCCAAGTTTTCAATGCTCAAGTTGGAGAGTGTTGATATGATCTCTGCCAAGACCCAATCGGGACAATCGCCTTCGCCGCAGAAGCGGAATTTCTGTAAAGGGCAAGCCAAATGTTTGATTACCGCATTCAAGAAACAGCAAATAATTAAAGTTCTTTCTTCATTTGGACCTAGGGCGCACGCCCACAGCCAAGTTAACCCATCACGTTTTTGACTAAATTAAAGACCAGAACACTTCAACAAGTGGGCTCGAACAAGATGAAGAGCTCTTAGAAACAACAGAAGGCTTGGGAGCTGAAAATACCCTGGGAAATAGCAATTTCCATATGAAGTTTGACTAAATGCTAAGAAACTTTAGCCAAGTGTATGTTTAGTTTAGATTAATACAATTATTAGTACACAAAATTATTTGTGCCTTTAAATAAAACAAATTTTAAAAAATGTATAACACAAATTAATGTAAATCTCTGAGAAATAATAATAGCTCCAAGATATGCCCCTCCAATTCCATAGAAAAGGACAAGCGGTCTAGACCAATTTGGGTCAAGCGTGAATTTCCTAATGATACCCTATAGGGATACCATTTCATAGGTCCCAAGAACTCCCACGACAGCAACAAATTCGCTTCAAGGAAAGGAAAAGAAAAGTGGACGATATTTGCATATGATTAATTTCATACGCTTGCCTGCTAATCAGCGAGCAATTTGCCCAAGTGGCGAGCGGAGAAAAGGGGTTGCAATGTTTTGTGGGTCGGGCATTTTCCGGCTCCGAGTTTTCCCCCACACACATACATATAAAGAAGGAGCGTTTGGGGAGCTCGTCTCAGTTTCAAGTGCACGTCACGTTTATCTCTGGGCAGGATTAATAAACGCGAGTTCGGAAGGGAAGAGCGAGTTAAACGAGTGAAAATTTATGACACTTGTTGCCATTGTCTGGAGGGAAAACGGAAAAGTGTGTGGAAAACGTAGAGACGCTTATTAATACGCACTCGTATTTACTTAGCGACGTGTGTAACGGCTTAGAAAATGCGAACGACAAACGTTTTATAATTATTTTATGGACTTCAAAGTTACTGGCTGTTGGGTGCTGCTGGTGGTGGTTTTGGTGGTGGGCTTACAGATCGAGTGGCTATATAAGCAGGGCAGCAGGGCGCCAAGCAACGCAGTTGGCCGAGAGGATTAAGACGGCTAAAACCGCTGGAGAAGATGGCGAACATAGTCCTGTGTATTCTGCTCCTGGTCTTTGGCCGTCAAATCTATGGAGCCAGCGTAGCGTCGGCACCGCTCTCTGGACAGGATCCCGAGCTGGCAACCTGCGAGCTGCAGCTCTCCAAGTACCGCAGGTTCATCCTGCAGGCAATCCTGAGCTTCGAGGATGTCTGCGACGCGTACAACTCCAGACCCGGTGGCCAGGAAGCGGACTCGGAGGCATGGCTCTTCCGGCACTACGCCCCAGCACCCACATCCCAGCGCAGCGAGATCTGGGCCTTCTTCCGCCTGCTCATGGCCCAGTTCGGCGATGCCGAGTTCTCGCCCATCATCCGGGATGCGGTGATCGAAAGGTGCCGCATCAAATCCCAGCTGCAGCGGGACGAGAAGCGCAACTCCGTGGTGCTGGGCAAGAAGCAGCGGTTCCACTCGTGGGGCGGCAAACGGTCACCGGAACCACCGATCCTGCCGGACTACTAATTCCGGAGATTCCACTCCCAGCGTTTTCCCCTTCAAAGTGTATGAACAGCCAAAGTTGAAGTCCTCTAATTAATATCAGTGTCTAAATAAACCCGATGATTGCAAACCGTGAAGCGGCTAAGTGGATGTTGTATTTAGTTAATTTGGAAAATAGCTCACCATTTTACTGCTGACTTTATTTGTTGGGGATTTTCTAAGCTAAATAATTTGTTTCTGCTTGCTGAAGCTATCGATGACTGTTGTTTTGGTAATCGGAGTTGTTATTGGTCCAGAGCTATCGGTGACTATCGATACTCGATTTTAGGTTGCGGTATTTTCCAGGGCTGAAATCTCAGTTATGTTATTACTTTTATCTGAAGGTTCGCTAAAATAATTTCGAGATATTATAAATAAGAGGAAACATTCTAAAATATGCAGATGGCTTCACTTAGGCAAGCGTTGCCAGACGGTTCGTAATAGTGGACATTACATTTTACATGTATGTATATTTTGAATCTTGCTTTTTGTGAGGGCGCCAAAGCAAAGAGATTTTGAATTTCCTCAGATATTTTAAGGGATCGTTTGATAATGCGAAGTTATATATTCAGCTTATTTAATTTTTGTAATTTTTTCTATTTAACTATATTTTTGTTTTATGTATTACTTTTTAGTGAGTATTAAATCCCAAATGTGTTAAGTTCTAATGGAAATTAAAATAGCTTTGGTGCAGTAATAGTCATTTTCATGTCTGTTTGGTATGGAATGCCATAATGAGTTTATGTTCTGTTTATGCCAACACTTTGTCTGTTATTGCCCACTATCTAGACAAATGTTTAGCCCTTATCAAGCCATCGTGAACTGAACGCCCACCGAAACACACCCCTTTGAACCCATAAATGTAGAACCCACCTGCACCGCCCTATCGCCACGATCGAAATCTTGCCGATCCCGACAGTTTTTGGAGCAACATTCGAGGCCTTCGAGTAGGCAGAGTCCGGCGGGGATTGTAGGATTGGAGGTGGGCACAACAAACCCATAAACCTTGTCTATTTATACAAACTAGGCGCAAAAGGGGGGTGTGTGTTTGTGCAGGCGGCAATAATTATAATTATCTCATCTGTCTCGGTGCTCTGGGCCATTTTGCCAGAGCTGGACACGCTGAAAACAAATGTTAACTAATCGCACCCGGCCTGCCCAGAAATCTAAATTCGAAATCATTAAATTGACTGATAGTGGCCATACTATATGCCCGGGAATCCAATCCACAACGTGAGCGACTTTTTCCAGCCTGTTTGACAGCGGCGCCAACGCTAGACTTGAATCCCGATTAGGGTCTGGAAACCTGGGCTCAACAAATCTTGGGGATTTTGCTGGGCTAATGCGATTATGGGCTCTGATTAGGTGGGCGTGATCGGTTGTAGTTCAATAACAAAATCCGGAAGGCAAAGTACCATCTAAAAATATACCTCTGGATTCTGTAAGGCCTTGGCACAGCTATTTAAAGCCCCCGATCGGTGATCTGCTAACCCCCTAAGCGGAACTTGGTCTGATCATTCAATCGATCAGTTGATCAGTTGATCAGTCGATCAGCAGGTGCTACAGGTATGCGACTTACTCCACGCCTAAGTTAAGACGTAGTCCCACCGTTTAATACGTGCCTTATCTCATAAAATATTTAATATTCGCCAGACTTAGACCACCAACATATGTAGATTGCCGGAGTGTATTAGCAAAAGCAGTAAGAAAAAACAAATGGCTATTCTAAGTACAAGCTAAAAAAAAATACTGAACCATATCTATATAGAACCTTATATACCATTGTAATAAATATTGTGATAAAAAACTAAAAAAAACTAGCATTACTTGCAACCAAAAATACTAAATCACTACTGAGCCCAAGCCGGACTTTCCCCACTTATGTGCCTTGGTTTTATATGCATTATTCATGCTTGCTAAATTTATTAATTGACCTTACCCCTGAGCTCACACCTCTGCTCCTCCCATTTGCACCATCTTCCTCAAAAACGACGAAGAAACTAGGCCATCTCAACATATAGAGCTGATAACAGACTGCCGGGCTGATTAAACCTTGTTCGGTGATTCTCGAGTGGAAACAACGAAAAGTAGAAGAACAAAATTGTTTAATTTAGTCATTGAACCTAACATTGAATACAAGAAGTGGGCGTGAGACGGGAGAGTTTTATTTGCTATTTTAGTTGTCCGCACCATTGGGTGGCAACAACAATTTAATCTCCCGTCAAAGCGCCACAAGCCAAATTTTTTCTTAATCAATGCCCGAATTTAATAGTATTAACAAATGTATAAACCGTTTAATTAAACTACAGGCTCCATGATTGGAATTTACTAAATCTTTATTCCAGCAATACAATTAGATAAGTGGAGAGCATAATCTCATGATGAAATAACAGTATTCATATTGTTGTAAATTTCAAATAACTAAGGATACTATGAATCTTATTGAACAGTAATAAATGTTATGACGGCAACCCATTTAAAAACACATTCTCTTGATTTCTCTTAATTTATGACAAATAGTATGACAATAGTTTTAAAAACGTTTTATCAACATAAAATGTGAATAGTAAAACTTTTTTACTCTGTAGCCAGGTGTCTTTTCCCGAAAATCTGCGTGGGCACAAATATATATTGCCAGCAAACAGCAAACAGCAAACGTTGTGGAAAATCAACTTAGGGAAATTTTATTTTTAGGTTGTTTTTGATTAATTTACAATCCGCTTGATTAGTGGGCGTTAACTGATCAGATAAGGCTTGCAACCATTATCGCCGGAAATATTTGCTTCACTTGAAATATTTGCTCTTATGACTTTTTAGAGAACCAGTATAAAAACGTATGTCCTATCCAGTTAAGACTATAAATTACTCTATCTGTTAAGAGTCACGTTTTAGGACACGTGCTTGCTATAAAACTACCAAAGGATAACACATAAACTTTAAATAAACTATGTTGATTGACGTCAAATACTACAATTTGTGAATTTTACTATTTACACATTCAGCAATAAAAAGTGTAAAGGTTTGGCCGATAAACCCATTGAACTATTCTGATCTCTGGGTTGGGGTGGAAAATTTTCAGAGGCGTTTTCCTGTTGATTATTTTGATGCGAAATTTTTGTATTTTACAATCGTGTTCGCGTTGCAGTAAGTCTTTTGTAATTTATATTTAAACATGAGTGTATATAATTATACAAATATATGTAAGGTATATTAACGATTATCTGTGCTTAATACTCTTTTAAAAAGCATTTTCAATTGAATTAAATCCATACAAAATAATGCTATAAAATTATTGTTTGTAAAAATGTTCTTTTGATGTATCTGTAAAAATTAAATAAAATGAAATAAAAATCTATACTGCGGGTCAATAAAGAATATCTAACGTTTTTTTCAGAACCCTTTAAATGTACATTTTTTTACATAATTTCATGTATGTTACATTTTTCACAATATTGCGCGTATACTGAACTTTGATCTTTTGTTAAAGTATTCGAACAATCGCTATTGTCCAGGTAACCTTGCATTCCTACATTTTTTATAATTATTTTTATATGTGCATGCATTGATAAGCCAAAAGGTGCCCCATTAGAGACCTACGCGACGCGTTAAACACAAAAAGTTAACAAATATTTAACTATTCAGTCTACAAAGGAGTAACTTCGATAAATATTTCGAAAGATATAGCGAAAAATGGCAAAAATCAGATTAATATCCGTTGGCATAAGAAAAAACCCGGCACCAATGAAATGAAAATAAACATTGGTTGTAAGCTTGGGCAAAATCTTAAGTTTCACATTGGGTTCAATGACCAGTCTATCGAAGTACTCCCTAGAAAATGTAATAGATCCATAAATAATGGAGAACCATCAGACATTATTCAAGTCTGCCGAATGACCTCACTGAAAATGGAAGGTTAATTGAATCAAAATTTGTGCCAAAATCTAAAGTGCGCATCGGTTGGCTACGCGAAATTTTCTCAAGACCCAGAAACAGATTTTGGTCTCAGAAATTTTGCATCCCACTGACTCATACAGCGGCCATGTAAACTGTAAACTAGTCTACGCGTTTCTAGTTGTATCTACAAGCAGCACAGTATCTGTATCTGAGTCTGTGCACACACATGCCCATCTACAGATACATTTGAATCTGGGCAGTGCAACGCACGCATTAAACATTGAATGCTATGCTTGTGCTTTTTTCTGCCCGACTTTTTTCTCTCTTACTTTTATTTTAATGTCGCATAAACCGGAACCATTAATAAACATTTTAGTGCAAATTTGCGGGATGGGGAAATAATGCTATTGGTTTATGCCGTTGCCGCTGATCGCGAAAAAAGCCGGAATTGCTTTTATGTAGGTTGGCATTGCCAATTTTTTCATTCACTATTTGGGTTCCGCGAGCCGGCAAATGTTTATTTTTAGCAGAGAATGTTGTTAAACCTGTTAGAGTTAACGTAATCAATTTAAAATAAATATTTATTTTAAAAATTTGTATTAAAAGTGTATTTGTTGGAAAGTGATTCCAGCCACAGCATCTTTATATAAAAGAAAAAAACTCAATTTAAATCACGCCACTGGTCTGAATTCGTTAATAAAAATGTTTCTTTAATTGCTTATCAGGTAGCATCCAAAAAAGGTAAGCTTAGATATTATGCAAAATTATTTTATCAGCTTGAGATTCAATACCGCAATTTGGAACCTGTCAATTAGCTCTCTACTTTTTGTTTATTTTACTTTGCCAAAATGCTGATTAAATTATGCAGGTGTTCGTTTTGGTTAATATCAAGATTTCAATGCGATTATAAAGGCGTTGATAGAATGGCTAAATGCTGCAAACAAAGATCAAATAATTGAAATACACATAAATAAATGTATATATTCATTGGAACGGTTGCCTATTTTATATTTGTATTTAAATATTTTATAAAACTATTTTTTTAATACAAAAAAAGATACCTTCTCTCAACTTTTAGAAACTGCTCATAGTCAAGCTGCCGCCTGCTAATTACTTCATCGATCGGAAGGTATTACAAAACGCCATTGACTTGGAGGCGTATCTCAGCTTACTTGCAATCCAAATACATTAGCCACAGTAAACACTCGGTGGCCAAACTCTCGACTCCCGATAAGTGGCACCTTTCTGTTTGTTTGGCGATTAGCAGCGCTATAATGAAGAGGTTTCGTCTGGCTATTTTTGGGATGTTTGTGGAGTTCTTTAACGACTACCAACCTATCAACTTGCGATATCAG